AATAATTATTCTAGTTCTATAATTATATTATCAAATACAAATTGTTATATTTTTATCTTATCTTATTATTACTCATCATCTTACAAAAGTTTTAAATATGCTTAACTTATTAACCTTTATTTTGTGTAATTCAGTTTAATACACTTTTCTAACTTATGTTTACCTTGCTAGAATTTATTAATAGGTTTTAATGTGCTTTATCTATCTCATTTTTTTGTTTTATTTTATTAATTATATTTTATCTCTATTTTATTATATTTTACTAGTAAAATACAAACCGTCTTTCACTAATAAACTTAGACAAGCAGAATTCTCGCTTACACAGGCAAAGCTAACTTTTTTTACACACTTGGCACACCTCCCCAAATATTATCATAACATTTCAAACGTCATATAAATATAATAAAATTAAGAACCGTAGAACCCGACAGAATAAGCAATCAATACAAAAAAACCAAAAAGAGAAGAAAAAAAATAATAAAATTACCTAAAACTGTTAAATAAAAACAACTCCCCACATTTATATAGGCATTTATGAAAAAAAACTAATATATTAAGGGGACAAAAAATTGAGGCAAAAAGGATTCGAACTTGCTCCAGCAGATTGAGAACGCGATTACTAGCCACTTATACATTTTAACATTTATTATTTTTTAGTCTTCCGCCATATAACATACAAATGTGGTGTGCGTAGTCAATTTCCAAAAAAGGAAATTGGAAAATTGAAACTCCGACGGGGTTATTTGCAATAGCATCCTGTTAAGTGTACTTTAATTTCACTTAATAGTAAATAGTGAAGCCTTGCATAATTAATAGGTTTGTTATCTAATAGACTTGGGTTTACTCCTATTCCTTCAAGTCTGTTGCATATAAGCTTTTTCTGAATACAATAAACATAGTAAAAAGTCGAAGCATCAAGTTCAGATTCGAAATGAATGAGCGCAAAGCTACTACCAAAAGTTAAATCTTAGTCGAATGTTGTGATAGTTTGCTTACTTTTTTTGCTCCGTTTTGATAACATGTAGGGGCTTAACAATAGAACATTCTTTCAGAATTTGTTTTAATCGTTCACTTTTCATGTCCCTTATGCTATCACCACAAAGTTGAACGTGGCATTTTCTGTTACCACACGTCTCGCACATGAAAGAAATCTGTGGGAAAACAAAAAAAAACTAATGTAGTTTTTGTTCTTGCTATTTCACAAGATTGTAACTCAAAGTAAGTGATGACGTAATTAAATTAATTTTGTTTATAGTGACCTAGCATTTTTTTTCTTTCATGGTACATTTTTTTATTTCTTTGGTCATCTTTCGTGGGTGGCATTAGGTTTACTTTCGTGGTAAACATTTTGGATATGAATTGCTAATCACCTCCTCGTGGTCATATCTGGACAATTACTATTTCTATGGAGGTAGTAGGCTAAGTATTAGCATTTTGATTAGTTTAGCGCTTTTTTTTCTAAATAAAGTTTATTGGTTATTGTTAGAGTTAGAAAGACAAATGATCGCTTACAAATATATGATTTTGGTAATTTTATATGCTGTTTTTATAGACGCTATACAACTATGGTCATGGAGAAAATCCACAGCATGTCTTTCCAATGCTTTAATGTTTTACCATACATAAAATGGGAAGGTTCAAAAGTCCAGAATTTCTTTTTTACAGTAGTGTCCATACTTAATATATTAGGCACAACATCTCATTGCTAAATTATTTCAGGGGTCAAGAATGAGTGCAGAGAAATGAATAGTAAAATTTATTTTATAATCCTTAGGCTAGTCTTTTAATCATTTCTTTAGATCCATTATTTACATTTTACGCCCAAACAGTTTGTACTTGGGTTTATTATATAACTTTTTGCAATGATAATGATAAATTATGGCTTAAATTTTTTATTTATTTTTCTGAATTCAGTTGAAGAAGCGTGTCTTGACAGAAATTACAGACTTAAGCTTGTAATTGAATAAATATCTATTAATTTTAGCGAAAACCGAAACACTGTATGATTCTATTAGTTAAATCGTGGTTAAGCACTATGAATTAAGCCTAGCAGCATCTTTTCCTCTTATTATATTTTGTTCGTCTTTAACCGACAATTGTTTTTATATTAATTAACAAATTAAATCCAGTTATATTTCTTGTAACCGACAATATCCACCAGCCGGACTGTATTTTGTATTTTAGTAAAAAGCTTATTTCTGCATTTGATTGGATTTAACTTCGTCACATGTATGAAAATCTTCAGTTAGTTCGCAAAGTGAAAATGGTAACTTATTTGTCACTTTTCTTTTCTTGATGAAATAGAATATACAGTGAATCCAAAAAGATGTACTTAATTATATATAATATTTGGGCTAATTTTGATTGGTAAATTGTGATAAAAATAATCTAAGCTTGTGACATTTATTTTTCTAAAGCGGAAATTTATTTCTGGCTTTAGACCAATTATTTTTGAGAAAATGCCAATTTCAATAAGCCTGACTGTATCTTTTCTTGTCATGTATGAAATATTATATAAGAATTTATGTCTAACTGTTTGTAGAAGAAAAAAAAAGTTAATTTTTTAGCATGCCGAAATTACAAGTGAAAATTGTGGGGGTGAAAGAACCAAAAAAAATAAAAACGTCATTTTAACTCCAGCTGAATGTTTATTTTTTTATTTTTAGGACTTTTATTGGTCAATTAATTTTTTTTCTCCCAATTTCTCTATGAAAATTAAATACTGCCAAAAGGCTGTAAAATTAAAATTGCTATAAAATAATCAATTTTTGCTATAAAGTTGTAGTTTTTTTTAGATATATAAAAACTTGTATATGATAAAAAAATTAATATTAATTTTATTTTCATGTTTACTAGTAAAAAGTTGACGAAATAATCATTTTTTGAAAAAATCACTTAAAACTCAGCAAAAAGACTTGTTTTACGTATGTTTTCAGTTGCGGAATATTTTCATTACTTGTAGTGGGAGAGTTGAACTAGAAGCCTCACTAAGATACATCAAGGATCAGACAAACTGTCCAGTTTAGTAGTAACGAATCAAGTAGTCAACCAATAGAAGTAGAATATGACCTACCGTTCAGAATCAATAGGCAAAACAAAAGGAGATTCAAGCCGACGATAAAAGATTCAAACGTGAGAAAGAAGTCTAAACTATGTTTAATTTGTGAAAATAGAAGATGTCGGCATAATCAGTTGACAACATAAGAAAATCAAGAAGACAACATTTATGCATCTTTACTACAATCACGATTTTCCCTGTTGTCTCATAAACTTTATTGTTGTAACAAATTTAATATAAATATCGAAAAATTATTGAATTAAAATAAAAGATAATCAATAAATATTATAAAAACTTAATTATATTCTTTGTTATTTTTGTTTAATACCATCTAAAGTTTTACTCTTTTGTATCTCAAGAAGTCAAGAAACGACAATTGGTAGCATCAGGCTTTGGAAAGTTGGTGGAGCATTTGTTAATCCAAAAGGTAGAACTAAAAATTCAAACTGTCCGTAATGGGTGTTGAAAGCTGTCTTTGGTATATCCTCGGGTCTAATTCTGACTTGATGATATCCAGATTTGAGATCAAGACTAGTAAAATAAGAAGCACCTTTTACTCGATCCAAACATTCATCAATTCTAGGTAAAGGATGGTTATTTCTAACAGTGACCTTGTTGAGAGCCCTATAGTCAATGCACATTCGCATTTCACCATTCTTTTTCTTCACAAACAAAACAGGAGCACCCCATGGAGACGCACTAGGACGAATCAATCCTAACTTGAGCAGTTCTTTGATTTGACGTTGCAGTTCATCCAATTCAGCGGGACTCATTTTAAATGGTGGACGACTAACCGGTGAGGCATTACCAGTGTTGATAACATGTACAACTTCACGTTCTGGTGGTAGTCCAGGTAATTCCTCACGAAATACAGTAGAGAATTCTTTGACTAGGTCATCCCAATATTTTTCTTGTATTACTGATGGATTCTCTTGATTATCGGGTTCAATCACGTTAAAGTACATTAGATAACCTTCAGCACCCTTTTTAAGACATCGTTCTGCTTGTTTGTGTGAAATTAAATAATTCAAATCCAAGGCCAAATTTGATTGTGTTTTATAGTGATCATTGCATGGTGTTAATCTTATTCCGTCATTTATTACCCAGGAATCCGTAGTCCAGTCAGGTTTTGGATCTACTTCTTTCAACCATGAACGTCCAAGTATCAAATCAAATTTTGTTGGGAATACGTATGCTGTTATTGTTTTAACAAAGCCATTTAGATTCAGTTCCAATGTAGCCTTTTGAGTGATTTCTGCTATATTCCCATTTGCTATTTCCACTTGTCGATCATTAACAGAAGATATATCTTGTGCCCATTTAGTTATCTCTGGAGAGACGTAGTTTTCACTAGCACCACTATCAATTAAGACGTTGAGGTGTTTACCCTTGATGTATCCCTGATATAGAGGAAGTTGAGTAGAAACAGTGTTTAGTTCAGTTAGATACTTGAGTTCTGCCGCCAAATCATGATTTGATGGTGTAACGGGTACTAATTCTG